AAAAACATCCAAGTCACTATATTTTAACCTTTACTTGTAAAATCAAAATTTCTGTCTTCTCAGCAAGGTCAGTAACAAAATACAACTGGAGTAAGAATCCCGGTGACTTATTCCACATTTGTCATCTTATTCCATTTTTTTCATCTTAAGCATCCCATGTTTTACTTAAAGTTCTTTATAACTATGTATTGTTGGTTAACTGCTGCGAGTCAGCAAAAGTAAAGGTAATTTTTAAGGCAGTAAACCTTTCAGAGGGATGTTTGCCAGCCTATATTCCAAGTTCAAGAAAGCCTATTGTTAGTAGATGCTTAAATCACTGTATAGGATTTTTCTCACCTTCACTGGAGTGCTTACAGGATATCTTAGTTTGAAAATGATTCACTCAGAGGCTGAAAGGGTGATCTATTTCTTTTCAGTTTGGGTCCCTGAACACAGCTGTTGAGTAATAGTCAGCTTCAAGAATAGCTGTCAGTCTTTCAGGCTGAAGTTGGAGCTGGAGGAGATCAGAAAACAAGAAAAATCTGTATAACTTAAAGCAAGACAGAATGACACTTAAAGACACTTTCCCCAGAGCAAAGCCAAGTCCTTTCCTGAGCACTGTTCTGGTTACACTGGTAGGGTTTGACTTGGGGGGACATGTCAGACAGGAAATGATAAAAGAATTAATATAATTGGAAGATGCAGTTTGCAGGAAGCAAAGAATTTAGCACGCTAGTTGCCATTTAGTGTGTGCTTGCTGGAAACACCAGTTGTCTTGTTTCTGCACTGCACTGTTCTTTCTGCTGCTTTCTGCAGTTTTGAATATATGCTTCCTGGCCTTGGAATTAATGTACTAGCTGAGGCATGGAAGCTCTTAAAAGCAGAGTACCTCACACAACTGCTGCAGCATACATAATTCTCCTGGTTCAAACCATCCTAATAGGAGACAACCAAGCTTAATAGAGTTACCCCAGGGAAGAATTAGGCCCATAAAGCCTACCAAGATCTCATGGTCCATCAAACATGGCCTTATAAACCCAAAAGATAAAAATCCACCTATATTTTATCTTCTCTTTTTAAGTCTCATAATATAAGTAGCTGTCATTTTCCAGCTGCCTATTCAGTTGATTTACGCTAGCTGCATTGATGACTTTTGTCTTTTGCTCCTGTTGTGTGAGGGAATTGGCCTGAGATGCTTACTGTCTTCTCACTGCTTTAACAACTTCAACACCTTAAGGTATGTGCAAGGGCTTTGCAAGGAGTCTAGCATTCCATTTGCTCCCAGCTGAGTGTCCCCTTCTCAGCAGCTTGAACAACCCTAGTACTCATTACATGGCTGCAGTCAGAAGGATTCAGAGGGATCCTGAGTGGAAAACTTGGGACTCTGGCAGCTGTGAATAAGACCAACAGCGGAGTGAAACTGCAGTGATTGTAGGAGTATTGACTATGGGATCTGCATGATTCTGCATGATTACTTGATCAGTTTTGGGGACCTCAATACAGAAAGGACACTGTGGTGCTGGAGCAGGTCCAAAGAAGAGCAACAAGGCTTGTCAAGGGCTTGGAGAACATGCCCTATGAGGAGTGACTGAAGGAACTGGGGCTGTTTAGCTTGGGGAAGAGGAGGCTGAAAGGAGACCTTATTGCCGTCTTCAAATATCTGAAAGGTGATTGCAGGGAGAGCAGGGCTGGTCTCTTCTCACTGGTGACAGCTGACAGGACGAGCGGAAATGGTATCAAGTTGTGCCAGGGAACATTTAGGTTGGATATCAGGAAACACTTCTTTATAAAAGGGTTGTTAAGCACTGGAATATGCTCCCTAGAGAGGTGGTTGAGTCACCATCCCTGGATGTGTTTAAAAACTGTTTGGATGGTGCTCAAGGACCAGTGGTCCATGGTGTGGTAGTGTATGGGAACTGCTGAGTCATGGCCTGAACCTCTGATTGATCACCTGAGGTGAGCCATGAGCCAGCCAGAGGAGCACAGGTGAAGGCAATTCACCTGTGCTGCCGGAAGGGGTGGAGCCAGGCTCCACCCCTGCTAGACCTATTTAAGAGCTGGCTACCGGTGCGGAAGGATCTTGTCTGGAGATCCCTTCTTCTGGTTCTTTCTGGAGGTGGGCTTAGCATACAGGTAAGCCTTCCGTTTATTCTCCTTATTATCCTAGTCTACTTTGCCTAACTCTCTTGTTCTTCTGTGATTATAACATCTTAATATCTATTGATTATACAGGTAGGTTGTTAGAGTTAGGGTAGTCTGGTTAGGTTGTGGTTGGACTTGATGGTCTTTAAGATCTTTTCCAAATTGAGCAATTTTATGATTCTTTGATTTTATGATTCTGTACTGGGCTTATGTGGTAAGGCTTTAGTAGTGGGGGGCTGTAGGAGTGCCCTCTCTGAGCAGAGCCCAGCAGCCCACAGTGGGTCAGGAGGGCTGGGGGACCTGATGCACATGGGGCTCTGTGTTGGAGCAGTTCCTGAAGGGTGGGCCCTATGGGACGGAGCTGTATTGGAGCAGTGCTTGGAGAGCTGAGGCCCGTAGGAAGCTTTCATGGAATCAGTTCAGGAAGAACCCCATGCTGGAGTGGCGGAAGGAAGTAATCATGAAGGAGCAGCAGAAGTCAAGCATTACAGGCTGACCGCAGTCCTCGCTCCCCTGTACTGTTTGGTGTGAAGAAACAGAGGAGGGTGGATGGGAAGAAGGTGGTTTTAGGTTCCTTTTAGTTCTTACTGCTCTTGACCTTTATTGTAGGCAATAAATTATATTAATTCCCCTATGCTGAGTTTGTTTTGCCCTTGACTGTAATTAGTAAGTGATCTACCTGTCTCTATCTCTGCTCTTGAGATGTTTTTCATCATGTTTTCTCTTCCTGTCCTTTTGAGGATGAGGATTAAGAGAGTGGTGTAGTGGAGCTTATCTGCCTGTCATTGTGAAAATACTACATGTTCTAGACTAAGAATTTTATACCTGGTAAGGGATGATAATTCCTACCTGTTAAAATGGAAACTAAAGGAAACAAGCTTAGAATCTCAGTCTTACTCAACTTTAAAGAATAATGTTGAAAAATCCACTACTGACACTTTTCTGAAGTGACTATGAATTTTGTGGGTGTATTGTTGCTTTTATATGATCTTCTTAATTAAATTCTTCTTCAGGGCTTATGGCGTACTAAAATCCACAAAAATGTTTACATAATAAAATGTAAAAAATGCACATATGCATACACACAGCAGAATGGAAATTCGGAAGTTCTAGTATGGGTATCTGTGATGCTCTGAGGAGTACAAAGATGGCAACAGCTCTATATTCGTTCATTTCAACAGTGAAAATATCCAATCACCGTAGAGAATTAGCTGGACCTTTATTCAGTCTTGCAATGACGGACTTCAGTGAGAGCCTGCACTTGTGTGAAAGCTAAAAGCTAAACTATGGGAACATATTTTATAGCAGGAGATGACCTGGGGTCTGACTAATCCTCTCCTTCTCTTTTCACATCTGCTCTGTAAATTCTAATAGTCAATAAATCACTTAACTACTAGATATGATTTGAAACTGTACTGTATCCCCACATCAAGGGCACTGGAGCAGTCTGCTTTTTCAATTCTCAGAGAAATCTGCAGAGAAATAGAGGCCCAATAAAAGCTTGTGGCAGGTTCTGAGATCATGGTCATGGCTAAGCAATGGCCAGCAGCTCCCATGGGATGGGTCAAGGCCAGGCCAGGCTGTCCTGAAGGGCATCTATGCATGCCTCCCCACTGCCTTAGAGGGACTGAGCTGCTCTCATCTGTACAATTTGAGAGCTGGCCTCAAAATAATCCTCCAAGCAAGATGCTCTCAAGGCTCTGAAAATAGTGTGGTCTGTTCTTATGGTCTTGAGGAGGTAGTTTGCTTCAGCAGACGCAAGTTTGGATATTGTATTAGTACTCACATGAATTGCTCTTCTGATGTACTGGGGTACATAAATGCAAAGATTGTCTGAATTCATGATCTAACACTAAAACTTCTGCTCAGTTTTCTGCTGGAAAATGGTGCCTAAGGAAAACATGTAAGTATGTAAAACCAGTCTTTTAGTTAAGGTTGCTAACAACTCCAAATTGATATCTGTCTACATAGCTGTATGAATTTATGGCAAGAATGTGTGGTACCATTATGATAAATGAATATTGATGTCTGTAGTATATAGAGACAAATTGAGCTCTAATGATTTCCTAATAAAGTAATTTGTTCATAGATCACAAGGGGATACAAGCAAAAAATATTTAATGGCAAGGCCAAGGTAATTATTTTTCAGCACCTAATTACACTTATATAACTAATTTGGACTGCATTTGCTGAACTCAATGACAATATAGAATGTCCCACCAGGGTTTACATTTGTCATTAAAAACCAATTCCTGGACTTTGACAAGAGGGCAGGGCAGCTCCTGAGAGGTAATTTAATATAATTAGGAGGCTATTATGTTTACTATCTGCACATTGTTCTTGCTTTATATTTAATCTGACAACTAGAGAAGGTAAAGGAACATTTTTCCCAAAATTAGCCTTGTCATCTCAGATCAAACTTTGCCTGCAGTTTATTCTCTTCCCATCTCTAAATTGGAGCTAATGAGAAGGAAGAAACCCATGCAGAAGTCGCAATAACAGAGTGTACTTCATGTTGTGACAGATCCAAAGAGAGTTGCATATAATGTTTGTTGAAACACACATGGAAGGGCCAGTCTGGTGTATTTGAACACAAAGATTTATATTTTTCAGTACACCCTGCATGCTTCACAGAAAACTTAAAGAGATTACAAATCTGTGCTGTGTTTCAGTTGGTAGACTACTGAACAACAGATTATTTCTGTAAGTTTGCTTATAGAAAGAAATCCAATCTCTATTTCATGATAAGAACAAGCAACTTAAGCACAACTTTTTAATTCTTTATGTGGGGTTTCTTTTGCTACCTGTGTATTTCACATACTCCCATGGGGAGATTTTTGGTCTGTGAAGGAGTTTATATGCCTTCTAGCGAAGGGAAAAGCCATTGTGCTCATGCAGTTTGAGCAATATTGGGTTTGTCCACTTTCTGCTCCAAACTAGAACATCAGGTTGTTAACAATTTTCTTATCCTTTGAGGGAGGAGAGCAGTGAAGGAGAAAGCAGATATGATGCAGAGTGGGAGAGAATAGAATGTTTCTTTGGAGTAGAACTTCATCAGGGCAAGATGAACAGCAGGAAATGGGGAAATTCAAGATGGGTAAATGGCATTCAGCAAAGGGATTTTCAACAAAAATTCATGTAGTGTTTCACAACATCTTGGATATATGAGAGTTTCTAGAAGCCAATGCAGTAAGATTCCCAGGGGCCAAGTAAGAACATTGACAAAGGAGATAAAAAGAGTGATGTCTTGTGGGAATTTATTTAAATGAAAAGATTTCTTCAGTAAAATATCTGCTTGTTGTGTTCTTCCTTCTACTCTTTAGGGATCTATTCCCCACAAGGCTTGCTGGTCCTTTTTTTTCCTAAGCAAATCTACTCTGTATAGGAACAGATCCAGGCTTCTGCTGTGAAAAGAAGCACTTGGCATTTTCCTCCAGGAATGACATCCTACTGTGGATGGTCTGCAAGTCTTCCCTATGCTGCTGCTTTTCCTCTGAGAATCGTATTGCAGCTGCTGGCAAAGAGAATAACAGGCTGTTTTTCTTGTGCAATTCAACCAGTCCTTTTGGTGAGTGGGTGAACAGACCAGCTTGGTTTGGCTGTGGGCTTTTTCACTTTCCACATTCTGCTGGGAGCTGGTCCCACACTGCACCTGGTTGCAGGTATAGAGCAGATCTTCCTCCCAGTACTTTGCATCTTTCTCTCTTTCTTCTCCTCTTCTCACAAACACTGGCTCATTTCTTCATTCCTGCACAACTTTCAAGGTAGTTTCTGAGCTGTTCCTTGTCCATGATGAAATTTAGCTCCATCCCCCACATCAGTCTTGCTTCCAAAAATTAACTTCATGAAGATTATCCAAGGAAATACGGTCAGCACTGTGAATCAAGAATCTGATTTCTAATTTACCTAGATTTTTAAATCCCTTCTTTCTATTACTCAGTTCAGCATAATAAGTATGGTGTATTAACAATGAAGGATAATGTGAGCTACATATTGAAAGGAAAGGCTTTTGTACTCCCTATACAACTGGTGCTGCAACGCTGTATAAAGGACATTGTCACCCTGTGACACATTTTATCCTGTAATACTATTAAAAAGAGTATCAAAATACATTATTTGCTTTTCCAGTCGCAGTCATATAAATTAAAGATGCCTGGAAGCAGCTTACATTCATATCTAGCAGCTGTGAAAAATGATCTGATTTTGATTGCAAATAGTATAACAACCTCCATTGTGGCATAACTCTTTATTTGCTGTCATTCTCTGGCCTCAACTTTTGTCAGCTAGAAATACCAGCAACCAGTTTCTCTTTACCACCTTGATTCTGTTCACAAAATCAGAACAAAATCAGAATCTGCTTTGGTTTCCTATATTTTCAATAGTTTCGGATCTGCTCATTTAAAAGGGGCATGGAACTGACAGCCCTTACTATTAACATTTCCTTAAATGCATGAATGATGTCATTCCTTCTGTCTTCAGTGACACACTTCACAGTCCTTATTTGCAGTGTCACTAGATACATAGTCATGTGACAAGTCTGCTAAGGTTTGTTTTTTTTTTTTAAGTGAGGTAACCATCTTAGCAAGTGAGCTAAAAAGGATTCTTTCTTTTCCTGAGGTTAATTAGACTGTTTGCTCAGGTTTTTGTTTTAATTGTTTTTGCATGTTTTTGTTTGTTTTTTTTTTTTTTTCTGTGAATAGCAGGCATAAACTCGCCTATGTCTCAAAATTCTGTAGTTGAAAAGGTTTAAATCTATGACATCTTATTGATATGAAATCTGAGTAACCATAGGAGGCATCTCAAAATTAAAAACAGACGAACAATCCCAGAATCTATGAGAAGTACAATATTTCAGTCATCGTTAAAATGTTGTGTCAGAGACTAGAATTTATCTCCCTGTGGGAAGATCTGGATGATTTAGTTTTGCATCTGTTATCAGACTTCTTAAAATTATGGTTTATTTGTCACATAAAATAAGAATTTCCTATTTAATTTTAATTTTGAAAGTGTCTTTGCTGGCTATTTTTGCTCAGTATACCACGGACTCGCACTACAAATCATGTTCAGTCTTTCATTCAGGATGAATTCAATTGCTCCTGCCCTGTCCTGATCGCAAAATTGATGGTACCTGCAATGGCTCTTTTGTTTTATCACATGGATTTAGTAGCAGACTGGAAGATGGCTGCTCCATGTGATGGTAACTTCCAAAGTGTTGACGTTTGTCTTTATTTCATGTTGGTCATTAGAACTAGGTAGTCAGTCTGCGTAATGAGTAACTTAAATACGAGGCTGCAAGCAAAATACGAGCCTGCAGCCAGCCACTTAATCCTACATGTTAAACTACCTTTGCCTCTGGACTGAACCACCTTTCACTACTCATCTTCTCCCAGGTCTCTCTCTTCCCCTCTGCTCACAGAGGCAGCATCAGGCTAGCAGCCACTGTTTTCACACTGCAGCTGCAGGGTGGCAGGACTGACATGCATTGTGGGCAGAAATCAGTTAACTCTCCTTCTCTTGAGCCCTTTTCCCTGTCACTGACAAACCCTGGGAATGAGTATGCATTGTTGGCTCCCAGATGTATCTTAAAAGCAGACAAACCAAAAGGCAAAGACACACTGCTCATAGCTCAACTGATGTAAATCAGTGTGCACTGATTTACAGCAGCTGGGGATTTGGTTCAGGAAGGCAAGCAGTCATTGATGGCATTGTGGAGGTGAAACTGCAGGCTGAGCGAGGCCCACCACATTTATTTTGTACAATTCTGGGATGTGAACACTGCTCTCCTCAGAGAGAAGCATCCTGGTCAGCCAGATGCAAGTGCTGTCTGGAATTCATCAGCATCTGAGAGCTTACAGCCCCATACTTTAGTGCTGTAAATCAAAGGTGTGCACAGTAATGTTGAAGAACATTGCATGTGTCAATTCATTAGTCAATGGAGTGGGAACGATCAGCATATCAGTCATGAAGATATATGAAGTCTGCCTCTTAATGATGTTAGCTCGTAGGCAGATTGTGATGGAACCTTTGTGGCCTGATGACTGTGTTTAATATGTGTAATCCATACCTCAATAAATCTGTGGCTGGCAAGAGAGCACAGTCACTTTGTTCAGTTTATGGAAAGAACACCAAAGCACTGTGGGCAGCATTAACATTCAACAACATTCGGCCCAAATGTAGAAACTATCTTTATTGGAACTATATTTAAAAAAAAAAATAGTAATTACCCAATTAAAATTGCTGCTTCTCAGGGCAGTACACACATATACATCAGATTCTGTTCATGTTGTAGTCATGTCAATGGCCATAGGATTTGGGTGTTCCACTGCTGTGTGCAGCATTAATCAGCCTGAAGTTCATCACTGGTTAAGGTGCAGCAGCTCAGAGTGCAGGCAGGGACTGACTTGCATTAAAAATATCATGCTGGCACGCTGCTGAACAGAAAAACAAACAAACAAAAATTGACATACAATATAAATCTAAAACATTGGTCATGCTTGGAATGTACACTAGGAAAAAAAAGATCAAAAGGAAAAGAGTTGGCAGCAAATTTACTCATTCATAACTAACTGTTCTTTAAAATTCTACAGATCCTTTCATGGGCCAGATCTACAAATGCAATGAATGGACTCTGCCAAGGTAAATGAAACGGCACCAGCATGTACCAACAGAAGACATGGCCCTACTCAGTGCTCTCTTTCTGCTATGGTTTGTTGTTGTAATAATACTATGGGAAGCTCTCTTACCTTTGCTTCACTCTGTTCCCACATTTTTTTTTTTTTTTTTTTTAAAAAAAAAAAGCAGGAATATCATCCCAGCTTTTAGAGGACATCAGTTTTCAGGAACAGCTCTCTGATAAAGCAGCAGTAGCAGGTGGTAGCAGAGTACCCACCCACACAAGCTATCTTCAGGGACTGGAGAGCCAAACTAATTACACAGCAGCTAGGACGGCAGCAGCACATAGAGGAGTTAGACTGGATGGGAAAATTAATTGTGAGAGCTCTTTTATTCTCTGTATCATAAATGGTGAACCATGGCTCTGCTTCGCAATCAAACAGCAGTGAAATAACTGGAATATATGGGTCTTTGAATGAACAGTGCATTGAGGTTGACAGAGGAAACCATACACTTCAGAGAACACGTTCTAAATTTCTAGTAGTTTGAGAAAACTACATGGCATTTGATTCACATTTACAAGAATTTTTCACATGCTTACAGATGAGAGGGTTGGTTTTTTGTTTTTTTTTTTTTTTTTAACAAACAAAGATGAAAGCAGTCAGGCATCAGAACGACTGGTGCCCTACTGAGTACTGGCTTAATCCTGCCTCAGGACACGCACTGATCCTGAGAGATTATTTTTTGGATGAACTGCAGAAGATGTTGAAATATTTCTGTGAATATGAGGTAAGCAGACACTGAACTTCACAGCATACGCAAACTGCAGATAAAGCTACAGGGACTTAGCTGACAGCACTGAAACTAGCTTATCAGCTTCTGAAGGTGTTAGCTGTGATTTTAAATACTGCCATGTGTGTGACATGGAACTGTACTGTAAAATCTGGATAACAAACTCAGTAAGAAAACATGTTTGTAGAACAGTGTGAATTTTCTTTTTTAATTAATCTTATGTGTCTTATATGACTTTGAAATACAATTGTTTTTCATATGTATGTTTATTTATTATTCATGACAGAGAAAAATGAAACCCCAAATTTCTCAAATGTTTAGCAGCATGTATAGAAAGCTAATTCCCCCCTAGAAAAAAAATACCTGCTGCTTTCAATGTTTTTGCCTGGCAATTGCAGTCTATGACACTTATCTTTCATTTCCTGCTCTAAGCTACTGGCTGGATTATGTCCATCCAGCATTTGACACATTTCTCCTTACAAGTATTTACCTTTATTTAGGTGGCATTATTAGTTTAAACCATTTGTATCTCAATCTGACGAATTAAATTTGCAGCTAAATTTATGTCTACTTTGTGTCACAGCAGTCTTTCTCATCCTTTCCAGAGAAGGGTGCCTCCCCCTGATTTCATGTGCATTCCTCAAGGTGAGCTGGATAGAAAACAGCTGATCAGATTGGAGGACTTCATGCAGCTGACATTCATTTGGAGCTGGACAAGGAGGTTTATACAGAACACTGAGGTATATACAAAGTAGAGTCTCATACCTACCATTTTGAGGAGAGAAAGAAAGGGAGAAAGCTTAAACTAAAATCTTCCTTCCTCTGCAACAGAGGAGACACTTAGTTTCCATGCAGAAATGAAGGCAATGATTTGCTTAGGCTTATCTGTCATTTTCTAAATCTTTATTATGACACTGCTACTGTTTGAAGCAGATATTTCTTTGCAAAATCCATGCCATTTTATATCATAAGAACACAGCCATTCTATGTCAGAGCAAAAAATGATCTATACTACTATCCTGGTGTGACAGAGCTGATACTAAAAAAAAAAAAAGTTTTAGAGCATACAGTAATATTTATTATCTCAATCTCCAGTGATTTGCAGCTCAGAGACTTCCTTGACCACTGTTTTATACTTGCATTTAATGCTTGTTGGTCAAGAGTTTTTTACCTCCTGACTTTATTTAGTGCTAGGCATGGCAGCACAGTGTTTGGCATGCTGACCATACCATGGCAATGATTTCCATAGCTCAATGCATCTTCTTTCGCTTGAACCTGAAATGGGCTGTTTCATTCTTTGCTTGTTTAATGCCTCCACACTCATTTTTTTTCAGAGTACTCCAGATAACTGAATCAGTGAAGCTTTTTGGGAAGGACAGTGAAGTACCTCATGGAAAGTCTCAGGGACGCAGAAGGTTTGAGTACAGGGAAGATGAACCAAGGGCTTTCATAAGGCAGGGTATCCCCAGGTAATAAGCATTGCAATTGAGGAACAAGGACCTTGCACAGAATAACAGAGAGACCAAATCCCATGAATTCCATGTCTGCACCAAGTATTCAAGTATAGTGAATGCTGGGGAGAAGGAAATTTGTCCAGGGCTGTAAAAAATGGTGACAGCATTTGGAAGACTTCCAAGAGAAATGCAAGTACAGGATAATATATACTTATTTAAGATGTACTCCCAGTTCAGGTTTTGGGCAAACCTCTTTTTGCTGCAGGTGCATGGTCGGTGATCAGAAAGTTAATGCAGCAAAGCACCTCTTATTATCTTTGGCTCTCTTATTCTAACTGGCTGTCATTCAGAGAATAGGAAGCTTAACACTGCATGGAGAATTGTCCTCTCCACCTGTCAGTGATTCATTTCACACATTCAGTCACTAGGGACTCTAAGAGATTCTGGTTGTTTTTTTATCCTGTCTCAAACTAGGACTTTCCGTCTGTATTTTGTACTCACTTCCAAATTAATGCTCGTAGTCTGGGGGAGATAAAATCTTTATTTGGAACCGAAGATATATACATTTGTTGTGTATGAACCAAACAATTTATAGATTTAATTTTTTCATGCATGTTATTAACCATATTAACACAAATAATCTTCAAGCAAGGTACATACTTTTTCTATAATGTCTAAAGGAGAAAAAAAAAAGCATAGATTTTTTTATACCCTCTCCCCAGTGGTGGTATAAGCACAGATTTCTTGTTTTTTTGACTGGCCAACCAAAGGTAGGACTAAGGATTAAACCAATGATGTTACTTCTTTTGCCCACAGTACATGATGGACAACACTTTATAACAACACTTTCTCTGAGAAATCTTAGAGTGAGAAGAACATCTTTGTTGACCTTGGTACAACTGAGATCCTCAGGAAATCTCAGTTCTGAGAAAGCAGGAGGTCTCCAAGCTGCAGGTAAGCATTTTTTTTTTAATGTTGTTTCCAACCCCTCCTATTCAAGTTTCCTGTGTTGATCAGAGGCTTTACTTAATTTTTTTAACAGGATTTGTAAAAGAGCAAAATATTTGGGAATAAAGGTAAGAAGAGAAAGGTGGCTGAGATCCAAAATGAAAAGAATAATGTTATTGGTGAGAAAGTAGTTGGAAAGGAAGAAAAAGAAGCAATTCACTGTCTAATTGAGAGAATTAGACAGTATCTAAGTGAGAGAAGGAGAGAACAGGAATTTGAATGGGGAAACATCTAAAAGATTTGAGGAAGGAGAAATGGAGGTGATAAGGTGTTATGGACCCAGTATACTGGAAGTGGATTTATTGGTGCACTAGCAGGGACTCGAATGAATAAAGCATTGAAGAGAAATGAGAAGGGGAATAGGGCAGAAAAGGACAGAGAATAGTCTTTAAATAAAAGAAAGTCTGTCTCTGAAGTAATAGGGAAGAGAAGCAAGGAAACAAATATTGAGGAAAGGCGGCTGGAAAATGTAGAAATTCAGAGACTGGCATTTTACCCAGAGCCTGAGTTTGATAAGAATGGAGATGATACATGATGCCACATAAAAGCCAAAACCCCATAAATGTTTAAGGATCAGCACCCTAAAAGAAAGAGCTTAGGTCAGTGTGCCACAGGCACTGCTCTAGAGAAGAAAGTTAACTAATAACTTAAATATATGTCCATAATATGTGTAAAAAAACACTGTTCTATCATGGGGAATTTCCATCTGAGTATCTTGTACCGCTAGTCTCATGCTGCCAGTAATAAAATGTCCTTGGAATTTTTAAATGTTACAGATGACAGTTTCTTAAATCAAAATGTGCTGTATCCAGCTCTGGGGACTTTTATATTAGACTATATCTTGACAGACAAAGAGGGATTCATTAGTAGACCAAGTTTGGAGGTAACTTCAAAGCAAAGTGTTTACTAACGTGTTAACATTTGTTACAGGAAAATAGAACAAATTTTGTACTGGCAATATAAACATTTGAATTTTCAGCTTTAAAAAAAAAGACAAAGTTAAATTGAGACTCACATATAGTTCATAAACATGTGAATATTAACTGGAAATACTCAAGAACATTCTGGAAAAAACACAGATTTATAAATAAGGAAGGAAAATATGCAGCTGAAGCATGATGGAGAAGGGGGGAAAGAAATGAATACAGTGCCAAATTTCTCTTTTCTAGTTATGTAGAATCATGTATATATCAGAAATGGAGTATTTATTTATTTTAAGGAAAGACTAATGGAGGAAGCTCTGTGACAAAAGAGGCAGCAGAGGAAGATATCACTCCTCCTTTACAATTAATAGATTTCCTTTAGCTAAGGCGTTGGAAGAATGGAAAGGGATGGAGTTTGAAGTTAAAGAAAAATAAATATAATTTGAAGAAGGCAGACAAAAGAGAGGAGATAAGCATAGAGAGAGGCAACGCTAACTTTCTGAGCTTGCATGGTTGGTAAGATTGTGAAGTTCATGACTGAATATAGAAAAGGAAATCTTAACAAAGCCAGTGTTTGTTACTGAACCCCAAAATGCAGTTGGGACAATTGATATTCAAGCAAGACTGGATGTGACTCTGGGCAGTCTGGTTTAGTGGCTGTCAACAGTGCACATAGGAGGGGGGTTGAAATTAGATGATCTTTGAGGTCCTTTTGAACCCAGACCATTCTATGATTCTGTGATATTCTGATAGCTCAGACAAGATGCCTAGCAGAGGGCTGCAAGCTGAAAGTTGACAGAAGTTTGACAGTTTTTACACTTACAGGCCAAGCATGATATTTAAACAGGTGGCAAGTAGAGCTGATTGACCTTCTGAAAGAAACGGGAGGAGACTGTACCCTGAAAGCTCAAGCAGAGCCAGTAGAGCTGTGCACTTGCTGGAGCAGTGGTCCTTGGAGAAGAGGGAATATGGACAGAGAGGAAATGTGATTCTCTCTGCATTGGATTAGACTGTGCTAGAAATATGTTGGAGAGAATGGCAAGATGAAAGATGGATGTACAGTCTGAAAACATTATTTATAGGGCAACCCATCTAAGGCTGATGGGAAACAGCTAGAATGTTAGTCAAGATCAAGTGAAAGTGAGGCTTTATGATAAAGTGAAGGGGGTATCAGTTTCCTGAGGGAACAGGGGCTATGGATGTATTTCTCCTAGGTGGAGATTAACAAGGACTTTGGTTTTGAGTTTGAAACTATTGCAAGTGACTGAGAAAAGAAGAGCTAAGAGATTGAGAGGGAGGAAGATTTGTGTCTCAGGCAGGCAGACTGTGAGTGCATTTTTACAGTTGACAATGCTCTGTGCAAGAATGACTCAGGGATGTCACGTTTCAGCCCAGTCCATTTTCTGAGAAATGTGTAATTTATTTCTATAAAGGGGACATACTTATCTAGTTTAATTAGGCTAATTGCAGGTCTGTGTCAAATATAGGAATCAAGAATGTGTAGGTGGGTAGAAGGCGTAGGTGTGTAAAGAGGGGAAAAGTCCTTGTAAGGAGCATCACTTTTCAGTCAGAAGAAAATGATAGGAATCTGAGTAATACAGAATCTGAAAACCATAATGTTACAGAAATTGTGCATGGCTGGATACTATGGTGCTCAGTATTGAAGCCCAGCTAAACTGAGCCTTAGATTTTACTTGAATATAAAACATGGGAGAGAATGAATCTTCAGAGAGATTCATTTCTTTGTATTGTTCCAAGGCCTTTTGGAAATGGGGCACAGTGAAGTGAGGGAATAGAAAGGTTGATGGTAGAGAAACAGGAAGCTAAAAATAAGAGATTCAGGGGCAGAAGTCAAACACACACACACACAAAAAAAAAAAAAAAGGTGAAATGAAAGAAAGGAAGCATAATATTGCAGACAGAGACACTGAAAGCCACAAGAAGATGACAAAGCAGAAATTACTGGATTATCTGTGGGCACTGAAGGATCAGAACAGTGCTGGGAACAAGAAACCCCAAAGGAGGGCTGGTAGGGTAGCAGGGCATGGCAGGGTTTCTCTCTCTCAGTGGTTCCAGGCAGGGAATCTGTCCTTCGTTTGAAAAGGGAGAGGCAGATGCTCGAACAAGTTGAGTGTCTGGAGTACATGACAGGAGTGATTTAAGTCAAGTTTCTATCACCACTGAAAATAACAATTGAACTAAATCCAAGATACTGACCTCTGCAAAGGTATTTACTGCATCCTGATGAAGACTGATAATGTAGCCATAAATACAGCAAGTAGCTGGAAACTCATGGTTGAGAAATATCAAGAACTCCTGAGGCTTTTCCTCTCTCACAGTGGGTAACGTATTTCAGTGAAATGTGAGAACAAAAAGATGATAACCCAGGAAGATTTATCTTCTTGCTTGGGCCTTGTGTTGCATACCAAGCTTGGATTCACTTCAGTCAACATTTTTTATGATATAGTGTCTCTTTGTAAAAAGAACTTTACCAAAGAGATTCAAATAGAAAATTATGCAATCAATATATCTGACTTTAAAAAGCAATGGAATAGCTAACGTTCTCATAAAGAATGTTATTTTGTGTCTGTGCTGGAGAATGAAATGACAGGAAATTCTTTATCATTTGTATTAAATCATTCTAAAACTAAAACAGTTGGAGGGTCAGCTAATGTGAGCACTTTAATCTTGCGAGAAAAGCAAATTTTTGTCATGTTTGTCAAACAAGAAAGCTCAGTTAAGGTGCAGTCCTGCTTCAAAAAGCAAGATGGTTTTAAAGCACAAGAGATTTCACCCAAGGAAAATACTATTTGTGCCCAACATATTGAAATGGAGTATAAGAGAACTGTAAAAAGACAGCCCCTCCCTTCTGCTTCTTGAAAGACTGAATAAGCAGCCACAGTTTTTGTCTCCCAGATCCTATAGCACTGCAACCCTTCCGTACCTGCTTGCCAACCATTTAAGCACGGGGACTTTCCTTGAGAAAACAATTGTCTCAAACAGATTCTTAGCTCTCCCACCTCCCAGTCTCATTCTGAATTATATTCTTTCGCTGAAAGGTGTTAATGGCCATAGTCAAGTGGGACTTTGATCTGTGGATAATCAACAGACTTGAAGCAGACGGATGTGCTAATCACACAGGCTGCTGAACCTCACAGATGGGTGTGCTAATAACCCAGGCTGTGAGGAAGGATGCAATAAGTTTTGTAGTTTTGATAATGAAATATTTGAAGCTTTTGTCTCCTAGTTTGCGGGGCAAAGAAGCTGATCTGTTTGTAAGCATGGAGGCTAAAAGATTTATGGGGCTGTGTGGAGGATAGAAGAAGCTGCAACACTTTTTGAAGAGCCCACATAGTTTTAAGATGCAAAATACTGCATAAATGACTCAACAGGCCTGGAAGTTAACCATACACCTTTTTTTATCCCCTAAGTAGCAGAACCTAACACAGATTCCTCAAAGTGTCCTGAATTGCTACTATTGCTAGTAAATGCACAGTTGAGGCTGTCAGACACAAAAATAGCAATTGTTTGTTTACCTACTTAAATTAGTTATGACATGAATTATACATTTGGGGCAGCTTTCTGTCTTGAAGAAATCAATTAAATATTCTGATTAAGACATTTGATTAAAAGTAATGCAACATAGCCCATTTCAAGGATAATGTTGAAATACATAAAATAAAACCATGCTTAATTTTTTAATAATTTGTTTTATTAAACTTCTGAATAGGTAGATAAAGTTTATATGTAACATAACCTTTATGCAGTATGCACCACTGGTGAATCAGCACTTCAGTTGAGACTTAAGAAATTGGAATATTTAGGACAAAACAAGCAAGTGCTTACTGCAGTTAATATAAATGTACTGCTGACAGCACTCTTCTGATTTTGCCACTGCTGAAACAGAACTTCTGAAAGTGATTGAAACAAATTTAAGGCAATGTGGAGAGATGAGATTAGGAAAGATATTCATATTTTGAAACTTCCTTGCCATTAGGGTTTCAATGGGAATTTTCATTCCACAAACTTAGGCTAATATCTCCTTCTTGTGAAAGTCAGAAGGATGTGAATGTTGCTGAGTGCATGCATCTCAGTATCGTGAGGACCAGATAAGCTCTTCAAGACAAGTAAACAAATTGTTTTGTGAAGTATGCACACGTGAGCATTATCATCTTTGAAAGCTGCATTAGATTTTCAAATGTTTCACTTTGTTACCTATATCAGTGCTTGGCAGTCTGAAAAATTTGCTAGAGAGAATCCCTACATTAAAAAGGGGGAACAAAGAGATTTGCAAAATTTTAAATATGAGAGTATTCCCTTTGATTAGAGAGCTTGGCTAGTTCTAAAGGAAGAACAAAGCGTAGTATGCCTGCTATATGGAACATAATTAAATGTATAAAATTGAATTTGTAAAAATCATATTATATATAATAATCTACTATATAAATTCGTAATTTATTTTAAACAAACAATTTTACTTGGTTGATTTCTGTGCAAAACAACTCTGCTTTTTATATGGAAAATTCATAAAGAAAATACGAAGGAAGATTGAGCAATTCAGAAATAAAGGGTTTCTTCCAGATTTTATCCTTGGATAGCTTTATCTCAAATGGCATCATATGTTTTCTACTCATTTTCATTGCACGCTTATCCAGAATGTGATGACCTGGGCTCTGCCTTTATGTTTTTACTGACAGCTCCAGTCCTGCAACATAGATGGACTGCTGGTCCTGCGTAACAAATATTTAGATTGAGACCAACAGTGGTAGGTCTTTAGAGCACAATATGAAACACAGTTCTAGTCAGCATTTTGAAGTGTGGGGAGGGAGATGAAAATAGGGGGAAAGGGAGACTCAAGCGTCTCTGTTTCTGAAATGAAGCAGCTTTTGAGGGTTTTAATCACTGCCATTTGACTTGATGTGGCTGGTTCTTTATGTGCTTCTTAAGGTAAAGG